AAAACAGTCTCTTCGAGATATAATGCATATCTCGAAGAACTATTTCCAGCAATTCCAGCTGGAAACAGTTATGAAACTCGGATTTTGGTATGGCCCTTAGAGTCCTCGCCACATATTTTTGTATGGCTTGCATGTCTTCGAAAGTTCTCTCTTCAGTTTTCAGTTTCGAGAAAACGAAAAAGTCAGAGCTAAATCTGGAGAATACAGAGAATGTTCGGCGAATGGGATGTTGTGTTTGGCCAAATACTGATTCATAGACAGTGCTTTATGACAAAGCGCGATGTCGCGTTGAAAAACCCGTGGTTTGGACTGCTACTTTTGTGACTTTTTTCAGCAGTTTGTAAACTTCTGTGGCCGTTTTTCCTAATTTCATACAAAATTTGAACGTGCCACATTGCTCCATAAGTCCGACATTTTGGAGTGAGACGCTGGCACCACAGATGGTCTCCTTTCTTCCCGCCTCTCTGCATCATACGCGAGCTACTGAAACAACTGGTATACAAACGTCCTAATGTCTACACTATCACTGGATACCTCTACCCGCTAACACTAGTTATTATTCTTGGAACTTATTGATTACACCTTGTATATTCTAGATTTATCAAATTCATTAACTTCACAGTGTTTAAAACTTGCAAAGCTTTTTTCTCCAGGGTCGTTTTAAACACTTTAGAGAACCCAATCCAATTTCTTTAGATGATACAGACATGTATTACTAATATATTTAATCCGTGAGATAGAGCGAAGCTCCCGGCCATGGCAGAGTACATTCCTGCTCTAATGCGGCCCTAATTTTTAACTTAAGATAGAATTTTAGCTGAATATAGTGAATTTATCTTACATAAAAATAACAAAAATAAAAGGAAAGAAAACTTTTTCAAAGCAATTTTTAAAATGTTTAGAACTCAACGCGATCACCCAGTTGGTCAGATTCGAACCCGCCTATCCACACCACCACTGGTAGGCAACTATTGTTCAAAAATAATAATTAAACGTATTATCAGCCATTTAAAAAAGTGTTTTAATGCAGATAAAGTTATAGATTAAATTTAATTTTAAAAATAGTTCTTTAATGTAATATCATCGTTAAAATTATGGAGATGTGTCCTCACTGCAAAATTGTTCTGAAAAAAACATACTTGTGGTTGGTTTTAAGATGTAATCGTTCTTTAACAAAAATCTGTTAATATTTATTCATAATTTACAGTTTTTGTAAAAGAACAAATTTTTACAATGCAAAACTATTTACAATTTTATTCTTTGTAGAAGCAAAATTCATTCTAGATAGTTATATTTTAGTTCTATTTCTTTTATCGCATGAAAGAAATAAGACGAAAGTACACTTTTTGTTAGCTTAAACTCTTACCATTGGTAACATTTATCAAGTTTCTTCTAATTTTTAGTTTTTTAATTTATAAAATTTAAATAGCTGAAGTATAACTGAGCAAATTGAAATATTGTGATATAAGAATACAAATACATCAAAGATTATATCATCTCCTTAGGATGAAATGCTGTTCAGATTTTGATTCAAGATCTATTAGTATTAAGAATTTACCCATAAAGAGAATAAAAAATATTTTTTTGAGTTTTTATTTTATTTGATAAACAATATGTTTGAAAAAAAGACAGCTATATTATGTACTGTACAGTATTGGTAATAACTTAGGTAATATTATGCTCAAATAAAATAGTTGAAAGCTACATAATCTACATAACATATAAAAACTAGCTATATGATATGTTCATCAACACACCTTTATATTTAAACTTTATAAAAATAAAATAACAAATAAAACTCACTTATTAATAAATTTGACTTCATACAACAACTTTTCTAATTATAATTTTAGAAAAGATATCGTTAAATTTCAGTTATTACAAATAATAACATTTTAGTTGTAAAAATAATTCTCAGAAATTATCCAAGACTAAATTACAATTGAAAATGATTATTAACAGGAATATGTACACATTGTATTATATGTATTTTCAATTTCCACTGGATTTTTCATTTACTTTTTTAGAGATAAACAAGAATAATAATTGGATTTGCTGAAGTAACATTCCGGAAATAGAAATTGTATTTTAAGGATTGCATACAATCTTTATTAATGTGAATACTGTAAAGTCTTCCACTAAAAGACAACAGAATCTCACTGTAACATATAACATGAATAATTTCTCCTTTTTAATGTTAAAAATTATCTTGCTATTATCTTTATAAATTTTTTAACAACTATTTTATAAATTTTTCAATTTGCACTGAAGACAAAATATTAAGAAATCAAAACTTCTAAATTCAAAACTAACAAAACAGATAAGTATGATTAAGAAGAAAATATCACATAAGTGAAATAGTTTAGTATATTAATAAATTAAAGTAATAGTAATACCATAATAGATTAGTATAGACTATTTTGAAAAAATTACAATACAGTATTTTTGTATTCTGTATTTCATACTTTTTAATTTGTTTTTACTATTTATACTAACAATCTAATTTATGTTTTGGATCAGCAAAGGCAAACTTTTCTAATAGTGTATACTAAAATATGCAAATTTAATTTTTAACAAGTAAAACAGCAAAGCCATTTTTGGGTCGAGACTATGTCTCAGAGAGCGCAAGCAACGCATGCATAAATCTCGCACTCACGCCTGTTTATAGAAACAGTCTCATCATTTTGTAATTTTTTTTGACCCGGTTCTCAGTCCCATGACTACCTGCAAGTCTGGTTTATTTTATGTGAGCCTGATTTGGGCACCAAATACTCTGTGCCAAATTGCAACTCCTGACATGTATGCCTTCATACTGCTACAATGTGCAGACATTGACAGCGATGCTATTTTTAGAGACGAGACATAGTCTCATCAAAAATATTTATGACTAAAGCATTAACTTATCCACATTAATTTAATTTAACTATAACAAAAATATAATTTATACACGTTAAAACCAAATTAAACACAATTTTTTTTGTGTCATTTCACTGCTGCTAATATAAATTTTTCTTGCCTTTTTTTTTAATATCTCATCTACAGTATTATATAATATTTCCTTGTTGTAATAATTTTTTAAATGTAGCATAATATAATGAATTATCAGCCATAATATTCCAGAAGAATATATCACAGACTAAAATTTTTGTTTTAAAATAAATTTAAATAAATCACACTGCATTTAGAATTCTGTTTGTTCATTTTAAATTTTGAAAATTTACCTAAACATTTAACGCTATATCATCACAACTTTTCTTTTTTACATTTAATTTACTAAAATATTATAAATAAATATCATCACTTAATTTAAAACTAGAATAGTGGCATGACTGTTTGCTTAATGATGATATACAATTTGAACTTCCATTTTATTATTATAAAATGATAATTTTCAAAACAAAATTTCTAATTCTTGCATAAAATCAAGATGTAAAAAAATTAAAATTTATCAAATTGTATTATATTTAAATAATAATTATATTTATGTTCTCAATACTTAATAATAATTATTATAATTATAGTTAATTTTCATATTAATTATTATTTTTAATTAATTAAGTTACTTAACATAATATACCACTTTATTACTGAGAATAGCATCACAGCATTAATGACCTAAATAACAAATCATAAAATTTTATATTTCTGAACTACAAATATTCTATTTTTATATTTCTTCAGTCATAATTTACTTATTGTTTAAAATATTTGTTTTAATTAAATCCTTGAAGATTTTTTCAATTGTTTCAAATAAATATTTTGTATCATTATTTCCTATTATCAATTAATTTCAACATAAAATAGTAAGAAATCTTTAATCTGTTTTGTTAAAATTATATATTTCTTATCTAATTTTTAAAATTTTCAAGACATCTCATCTATTTTAGAGTAAAATTAATTAACACTAAAAAAATAACTAATTGATAGAATACAAGGAATTAAAATTATCAATTGATTAATCACTTTTTAACCTTGATTCTTAATTAATTGTTCTTTAGAAGCTTCTGATAGCATTATAACGTTGAAATAAAAATAATAATACTCTAAATATGCATTGAGCTTTATCATGCAATTTCATATTACAAGAATATATTTTTATTAAGGTAATTTAAAGATATCTAAATATTTAATTAATATCAACTATATACCTATATATAAAACTGAACCAAACAAATATACTGTATAACTTCATCTAAAACCAATGATAATGATAAATTCCAATATAATTAATAATTTTATTTGTTTATATTCATTTTATATATAAATGAATATGTTACTATATAGTTATACTCATTAAATATTTATGGTTTTCTTCAATAATACATTTCTTTAGTTCCACATTTCATATCTCAGAGCAATTATCTTTTTAATATAAAATTTTAAAATAATTTTTAAATAAAATATCTACAGTAAATTATTTTTTAAACAGAAAAGCATAGTTTTAATAAACAATATAATAGTGAATACAGCAAAATATAAAGAAAAGAAATTAATAAATATACATTTTAATTTCTAAATTAAACTTTATTATAATAGTATTTATAAATCTTTTTTTCATTCTGAAATAAACATTTTAGCTTATAATAATGTCTAAACCCGTTCAAACATTAAATCAAACTTGAGATTGTAAGCATGCCTTTTCATTTGGACACACAGCATGACTAATCTACCACATACTGAATACAAATAGCTAAATCATGTTCACTTTGTTATTTAAAAAAAACAATATTTCCTTTGGTTTAACTTTATAAGTATAAATTGTAATCTAGAACTTATGAAAATAATGTGTTTTTAATAAAATATTTACTATAAAATTATTTATATTCTAAAGAGTTTAAAAATATTATTGAGTTAATTAATTATTCACAAAATTTAAGTAATGTTTAATGTTTAAAATTATTAAATTAAATAGAAACTATTCATTTTAATACAATTACATTTGTTACTTATTCAGAATTATTATTTAATTATTATGCATTTTATATTCCAGAAACTCTCACCTGGAGATAGAGGAAAACAGAAATTCTCCCTGGTAAAATGAAAATTAGCATAAGGACTACGGGGAAGAAGAAGACTAGTATGACGAGTATGTCTATTTTCTGAAAAGGTGTTAAAAGACAGGAAATCCTCAATATTAAATAATTATATATAAAGGTTATTGAAGAGAATTCAGTATTTGTTAACTACTACAATTTAATCTAAAATTTTGTTAATACTAATATTTATGAAAATTAATTGTTAATAATTAAAAACTTCCACAAATTAATTAATTCTACATTATTAAAAGAAAATATTGTATTTTATTATAAATACTACAGAAAATGCTCACTCCAAATATTTAGAAATGGCTTTGTGATATATATCACAAAACAAATGAAACAATTACAAAATTAATCCAATATCTTAAAATTTATTCTAAAAATCTAACTTCAAATAAAGTATGAATTAAATAAAATCTAATATAAATCATTTTAAATCCAATATTACTATTAAATATTTATATGATTCGTACTTATTAATGTTTGTATAATTTATATATTATTTGATTTAAAGTTTAGAAACCTATTCAGATCTAATTCTACAAATTTCTTACATTATTTTACATATATATGTATATATATATAACTGCTGAGAAACTGATATATAATTACATCAGTTACCAGTATTTGTAAATTCTATTGTAAGTGATTTTTACTGAATTATTTTATATAAACATATGTATAATATTTCTTCATCTATCTATACTCATATCAAAGAAATTCTATAAATTCGACACAAAATAATCATAAAAATTTAAAGTTGATATTTTGTCAAAACATATTTATTAAAGTGGACATTTTGTCATATATTCAGATATTTGAATTTTTTTATGATTATAGTTTAATCAGATAACTAGAAACATTTTCAGGAAATAAAATAATCATATTTTTTCATGAAATACAGTAACCTGATTCTCAAATTATGTAAATAAATTTAATCCCATAAATTCTGCATTTGTGTAGAATTTGTAATTATAAATAACTAAACAATCATACTAACAACTATAAAAATACTGTCTGTCTTGTGTAATGAAATAATTTTTTACTTATAAATATAATTTTATAAAAGTGTATAAACAACAATAAATATGTAAATAATAATCACCAAGTTCTTTTAATGAATATGTTTTAAAATATATTTTTACATAAAAGTAATAAAAAAATAAGCACTTCAAATCAAACCTTTTTACAAAGTTTGATCTGAAGTGGCTTACATTTATCTATGGCCTATTTTCAGAAACAAATGCAGGGGGAAAAAAAACAAATTTTTTGGCATATGTCCTTGTGGATGTCAATGATATTTGGTACATTTTGCCCCAAGTGGGTCTGACTGAATCTGTAATAGGTAGCAAATAGGCACTCTTAGTGCGTACATGGAGGAAAGGGTTTAAAGACCAAAAAATGTTTTATTTTTATTTTTTTAAGCTATTTACAGTAAAATTCAATAAATGTGGTTTATGGTATACTACAATACAGAATTAATGTTACTATATTTCATTGTAAATCCTGACACGGCACTTTTTTTCACTGTGGGTCAACTCAGAACCAGAGGCATTACTGGTATGTTCTCATTTGGAAAAAGATTCTTCATTGTTCCCATTATCTTCATCACCTGAATCATCTTTCCACAAAGCATTTTCTTCACTTCTGCCCAAGGCATTGTTAATTGAGCATTTCTTGACCAACTACAGATTCATTCACTTGATCTCATACAGCTTTGATCCACCTTGCAATAATTAAGACAGAGACCTCCTGAATTTTTCCTGGAGTATATGATGTGTCTCTTCCAGCCACATCTCATACTCCTTTGTCACATTGGCTTTTAATGATTTATTAATACTAATGTCGAGTGGCTGAAACAACAGTGCCAATCCCTGGGATCATTGCTAGTTTGGTCTTTTGCTTGGTCAAACTTCTTTTTTTCTTTGTCAGTAATGTGCCCTCTGAATACACATAACACAAGTATTGCTGGAAACCCAAGGCAAGATCCAGGATGGCAGCCAATCTACCATCAATTGTTCTGTCATCAATATCTTCTCTTGCACTCAGATGACTCCTGATAGGAATCTGTCTGTCTTTTTCCTTTGGTACATTTTTCCTCTGAATATAAAATACAGAATTAACTTCTGTTTTTCTGTTGTCATGGCTAGCATGACTGTGATCTAATGTTTCTCATAATCAGTAGTCTTTATTCTGATTTCTTTTTTGCCAGTGTCATTTACTGTAAAATTCCTTGGCATATTGAACCAAGTTGGAGTGTCATTGGTATTGCCAATCTGTCCCATCAAAAAGTTCCTTTCTCAAAGATCAATCGTGTATCTCTGGAAATCCACAAGCTTACTCTCAAAGTCTGCTGGAAGTTTTTGTGCAATGGAATTGTATTGTCTTAGTGAAATTTTTGTCACTTCATCAATTTGTCTACCCAACTTCTGCTTGGTATTTTACAGGAAATACCCATAGGTTAGACAACTTCATGTGATTTAAGGCTAATTCTGACACTTGTCACACACAAACCATCATTATGCATTTGCCAAACTTGCTCTGTCACTCCTTCCTCCAGACCTGGATGACAGACGTTTTTTGGCTTTATAATTTAATTTAGATTTCAATAATGCCAGCTTTGACTTCCTCTATCCATAAATTTGACTTTCATCAAATCCAAATTGTTGTATAGCTGTCCTCTTTCCAATTTTTTCCACAGCAAATATGATTTTTTTCTTGTATTTAGCCATGTAAGAAACACACATTTGTTTTCTGCTAAATCTATCTAAGAGTTGAAAAAATTAAAATGTGGGAATTTGCATTTGATGGCACCATTACATCTAGACTGCAAAAGTAATCACAAGTACACCATATTCAGGTACAGTTTATAATAGTCTACTTTTATACACACTATTTTTCTGAAAGCATGGTCTAAAAGCAACCATGTAAGTTATATACAGTAAAAACTTACTTTTGTGTAAATACAGTATTATAAAAAAATTTTTACGTCTAAAATATTTGACATTGGGATTTAAATTCAGAAATTTGACTAAGATCAACAGAATCAGATTGCTTAGAATGAATTGTTAATTTATGCAATTAACAGGTGTAATAATTTCTATAATAGAAATGTTAATTTAATGTCCAATAATACTGGTCCCATTGATATTGATAGTGACATTATTGAAGAATGTCTTAATAGAAATAAATTTATACAATAGGAACAATCTTTATTTAAAGATATTGTCAATACTATGGGTTCTTAAGATGAACAATCTTCATTTAAAGATGAAGATTTATCAGAAAAAGAATTCAGGAAGCTCAGTCTGGTCTTAGTTTACAAATGTTTTTTGTTTACAGTGGTCTTCTAGTGGTCTTTGCACTATATATGTTTCTGTATGCGTGTTGGTGTGTATCACATACACCAATGTACTGGTACATTACATGTTACACTGAATCCAGGAATGCTGCTCATTTCACAAAATAGCAAAAATTTGCATAATTTATTAAATCCGCACATAAACTGCTAATTTCATAAATTAGGCAAATTTTCTGTTGAATTCACAAAATAAGCTAATTTTGAATAGTTTATTTCGTGAAATTTGCATTTTATATTTTCCAGTAAGATAGCAATATTTATTTTGCTCTTTAAATTATAAGTTAGAAAATGTTAGGCAAGGATTTATTATTATTATTTAATTAATGATATTTTATAACTTATTTCTTAATGAAGTTTGTTTATATAAAGAAATTTACACATTTTAGGTCACATTAAAACATTCAATATCATTCCATTTTTATATATTAATTCATATTTCCAGATTTGATAGCAAAATAACAAAGTAGAATTATAATATAGTTTAAACAGTTTCAATCAATGCTATTTTATTGCTTTTTAATTTTATATTAATGTAAAAAAGTAATGAGTTTACAATGATTGCATCTAATGTCTTAACAAATCAAACTGCTCTTCAAAAACTGCTTTGTAATATTCAATGAAAGATTTGTAAAGCTCATCTTTCATTGAACAGAATATTGTATGACAAAAAATACCACAAGAGACACTGGTGCACAAGAATACTGGTGACAAAAGTAAAATGTAATAAAATTACTTTAAAATATGAAATCAATATATATCAAAATACAAAATTTACTGAAATAATTTCAGTAAATTTTGGATATCTAAGAAGCTGTATGGAAAAAACTAAACAGCATCACAAAAGAAAATTTGTAAGGCATACAGAAATTACTAGAACTTGCAAAAATTTGTATAAATCACAGAAGAGTGTATTTTGAAGTCTGATACTAAACTGAATCATTTCTACCGAAATATTTTCTTTTAAAAATTTAGTCACCAAACTTAGCAGACCTACCTTGTATCTGTTATGGCATTTATTAGTTCTATTTAAACAAAACTAAATTTAAAATTATCAAAACAATAAAAAAGTCAATAAACAATATAAAATAGAATTATTTTTAATGTACTAAATAACATTATGCATGTATTTATATAAATAATATAAATAGATATGTATATAATATTCATTTATTTATTTATACTATTATTCATTTAAAAATTTCATGTTTTCTTTTAATGTGAAAAGAATAACAATAAAAAAAACTTAAAAATAAATAAACAAATAACTATATCTAAATAGTTATGAGTTATGAGAGATATGCTATTATTAATACCACTTTAAATTTAATTCTATATTTATAAAATATTAATAGGCATTAATGATTTACCTTTTGTTTGTTGTGGAGAAGAAACACTCTCCATCTCTTCTGATTTAGTCATGGAAGTCAGAAATTTTGTATTTTCTGTTAACTGATGAGAAGATGCTAGTGGTATTACTAAAAAAATTAATTATTTTTAACTGATATTTTTCATTACACAAATTAAGTAAAAATCACTAAATTATATTTATATAAAATTCAATTAATAAGAACTGATTCCATCAAAAATACAAATATCATTTGATTATGTATTTTTGGAAAGCAGTTAAAAAACATAATAAAAAATAAATATTGTAAGAATAGAAAAGTATACTGTGGAATAAAAATACCCATAAATATCATAAATAATTTTACTCTTGAACAGGCATAATGGTAAGTAAAGTGACTTATTTTTAAGTACATATTCCAAATATAAATTACTGATAAATATTAGATCATCTAGTAAATAAATAATTTTAATTGAAAAGTTGAAGATTAAATTTATTAATATATACTCTTAAATTGTTATAAAACTCTTAAAATTACAATATATATTTTAAGATGTGTTCATATTATAAATCCTTAAAAGGAAAAAAAAATCACAATTATTATAAATAGTAGAAAAAAGAAATTAGCATAAAAATTAATTAAAAATAAAAGAAAAATTCCGTAAATAAAGACAATAAAGAAAATAAAATAAATTCTATAAAAAAACAAGTTTTAGATCACAACTTATCATTTTTAGAATCGATACACATAATTCAGTAATTCTTCATATTTTACATACAAAATGAAATAAAAATTTGCTTTTTGTCATTTACTTTCATTCATACTATTAGTTTAAATGAAATAATAATGAAATAAATCAATAAAGATTGAAATAAATTTGTAAAATTAAACTTGGCAAAATCTAAAATATCATCAAAATCTTTCAATATTTATCAATATTTTAACATATATTAGTATGTTTAGAAAAATGCTTATTAATTTGAGATTAACAGAGAATCTCTTGATATCAACTTTTCACCTAAGATTTTATTATATATGTATAAAATAACATATCATAGAATAGTGAAAAAATAATAGATATCTAAATATTTTTATTTTCTAAACTTTTATATAATAACTGAACTTTTAAATTTGTATTTTTTTCCTTTTGTTTGTAAATATGCCAAAATATCTGAATCATAAATATAGATGATCTTGCTGAGATAATTTGTTCTTGAAAAAAAAAACTCGTTAAACTTTCATGATAAGATATTTTGGCATATCTACAAAAAAAATACAAATTTAAAAATTCAGTTATTATGTAAAAGCTTGGAAAATAGAACATTTAGATATCTTGTGTCTATTATTTTTCTACTGTGTGTGGAGGGTGTGTGTTGGATGTGTGTGGGAAAGTTTGTTGTTTTTAAGAAAGGAAAGTTTGTTTTTAAAAAACAGCAGCAATCTCTATATCTACTAAAAATTCACTGCATATTTCAATGGTGATAAATATTATTTTTAACATATGGCAAAACACCTAATTATTTTAATAATCTACATTTTGCACAGTCTATTATAATTATTAAAAACAAATTTAATTTATTCTTTAAAGGAGAATAAAAATAGTGCAGTAAACTAAGATTTTCCATCAAAATTTTATGACTAACATTTTATATAAAGTAGTTTTGAAAATAATGTGCATTGTATTTCATTAAACACTGAAAATATAAGAGAGTTAACAACAGATATAAAATACATATATATTTTATACTATACACACAAAATTTAAGACTTAAATCAGATTATATTTAATTAACTGATCAGACTATCAGCCATATTTCAATTATTAAATATTGTATTTGTCTAGTATAAAAAAATATAACTATTTATATGTATAGACTATATACAAAATATATAAGCTTTTCGCCAAGAGAAAAAGCAGGAAAATGAAAAAAAAACAAGAAAAACACCCAAGCATATTAAAATTTACATAACAGAAACTTTAAATTAATAAAATATATAGAAAATGAAATAAAATGTATCTACAACTTATTGCAATTCTCATATTATATTAATATATCAAAGTTTCTCTAAAATATTAAATTATAAAGTTTTCCTTAAGTTCCAAAAAACTTATTAATAGAGTAGATAAAAATGTCTGATCAATAAGCATATCAACTATGCATTATTACAGAGAATAAAATTTCGGCTTCAAATAAATTATCTATTAAAAATTCCTATAAGATATAACGTAAGTAGAAAAATGAAGGCAATATATATGAATATTATCAAAATCCACTATTAAGAATTAGGAGCAATACAGACGTAAATAAAAATTCCGAACATCGTTAATTATACGTAATTAATCCAATGAATAACAAAGACAGGAAGTTGGAGAATGAAATTTTAAAAAATTGACCGGAACAAAAATGCATTAAGCTGAGTCATGTTATTTTAAGATAACTTAACCAAAATCTACATGATCACAAACATAGAGTTACGTTAAAATCACGATGTTAACTGGCAATGTCAAATCGACTTTTCCTTATTTTTTAAATGTTTTTATGTTGTAATGATTTTCTAAAGATTTTTGTTTACTGAAAATAATGAATTTCGAAACATAAATTTATCTTTAGCATTAAAACATTACTTGAATTTAAATAATAAAATCATTTAGGTGGACAAAAAAAGTTAATTATTTTATATTCATGAATGAAATTAAAGCTTAAAGCTGTAGAAAGATAATTCTTCCGCACCAAGACAAAAGGCTCTAACTCAGGCATGGCCAATATATGGCCCGTCTAATGAATTTATGCGGCCCGCGATTAATCTTTCAATATTAGCTACTCAAGTCCAAATAGCTCGATGAAAAATTCTGACGCCTAAAAAAAAAAAAAAGTCAACGACTCACTGCGTTTAGAGTTAACGCTGCATTACAAATCTCTTAAGTACAGCGTAGAATGTTGATAATGCATGATAATGTGAAAAATGTATCTGTAATCTCTATGTACAATTTAGTCTCTACGGGGTGACACCACAATGAGATCTTGCACCACCTCAAAATCTTCCTAGGGCAGCCTCAGGTTCGGCCCGTGAAAAAGTTTTCTTTCCAATTCGGCCCGGGGGCAAAAACTATTGGCTACCCCTGCTCTAACTCAAAAAAAAAAATTTTAATCAAGTTGCACACTTGGTAGCGTACCACCTCATTGGTATCCTTTGTCGATACCGCCCAATATCTAGTGAAAAACGTTCCGTGATAATTTTCAAGCTAGATATTAGACGTTATCGATAAATGATACCAATTTGGTACGCCATCGAGTGCGCAACTTATTTAAATTTTTTGGAGACAAGATAGCCTTTTGCCTTGGGGCGATAGAATTGTTTTTAACTTAATGAAATGAAGATAATATGAAGCAGCGTATTATTCCAAGATTTTAAATGTTCAACACTCATTCTGAATAATAATTTTATAAACACGATATTTTTCAATTTTAAAAGATGAAACATATAATTAAGTTTTAACCTAAACTCTTAATTAAAAGATTTCTGTTACCTTCTATTATTTTAGTAATTACACATACTTAATAATCTGTAAATATTTCGTATAATTAAAAACTCAAATACAATTACAAAATTTTTATAGTTAAATATTCCTTCCTCCAGTCTCAATGTAATGCACTAGCGATGAGAGCAGAAGAAAAAAAATGTGGATGCTAAATTAGTATTGACATAAACAAATGCAATTCGACTTAGTGCTATTTTAGGTTAAATATGATCCCCATATACAAAAACGCACGATACGACATTAGAGAGGAAATGCTGCACTAAATAATTATTGCTTTATTTATTTATATTTCGTGGAAAACTAGTACGAAAGCATTTATATTGAACGTGCTCGTTACAGAGTTTACGAAAATTAAATTTATAAAGCTTATTCTAGATTCAAATACTAATTACTAATTATAACTATGCTAATTTAAATAAAAATCTAGATGATATATTTGTCGTTTGTATTAATTATTAATTGATTTTACTAACAATTATAATATTACAATTTTTAATATAATTTTAATAAATTACATGAATTTTAACGCTTTTGGGATAGTATCAACCGGGCAACATTAAAATAGAAAAGGAGATACTGGGGAAAAGTTATTTCTCAAAGCCTTTTTATATTTCGAAGGAATCTGGAGTAAGATTCTAAAAACTTTTAATATTTATATAAAAATGATTTATTTATCAAATAAATAAACATTTTTACATCAATATACATATTCATCAGACCTAGAATCACAGTGAACATATTTACAATATTATATTATTTAATATTATTGATGATTTAAGTAGCTGAAATAATTGCGTGCATGATATAATAGAAAAACAGCTGACAGATAATCTACACAGATAAAAATTTAAACTAATGAAACTACAAAAAAATAAATAACTGGTATGATGGCATTTACAGTTTGAAGTTCACCAAAATTAATCTATGCTGGATATGAAAAGCTGGAATATTTAAAATTCAGATCGATTCTACATTAGACAAAAGTGAAAAGGTCCAATTTTCACTAATTATTATTTTATTGAAAATAGCCACAAGATTCGATAATTTAGTCATTAAAAATAATGTTACCGTGGTAGATTTTATAAAAACATCTGCAGCAAATTCTTGAAAAATCATAATGTGACGATATTATTGACTATTATTCCAATAACAATATTGTCGATAATAATCAGTATGTCTAGTTGAATATAATGAACTCCTACTTTGCATTAAAACAATATTAGCAAAGTACGAAATTATTAGAGATGGATCTACATCCTAGAAATGTTGTTAAAGATTTGAAGTTGGGCTAAATGCTTAAGTTGCTCTTAAAACCTTTTGCTAAATATAAAAACAGTTATATAACATCTTTATTTTTGCAATTATTCGAAATGAGTAACATAGTGTCTAACTAAATCGAAGACATCGATATAAAGGATAAAATCGATAATGGAAATAAATGTTAGATGGAAATAACAAAAAGTACTAAAAAATATCAATTAAAAATAATTTTTTAATATCATCTTTCAAAAATATCTACAACTTATTGCAATTCTCATATTATATTAATATANAAATTTTTGAAAAAAATTTTGAGAATTTTATATTA